CTCTTGGCAACCACCATTCTAATTTCCTTCTTACCCTTTTAAAACTAAAGATACCAGAGGCCTTATTTAGATTCAGTCAGTAATGACAAACATATGTTTATATAAGTTTTTCAAATGAGGAGCTAAAAGAAATCTGCAGACATATGGCAAGAGGCAGTAGATCCATAACCAGAGAGAGAAAAAAAGTGGAACTGATGTTTAAATTAAAGGTTTTGAAGGAAGTTGTAATGTGTTTCAAATGTGCATGCTGTTTTAGTTAAGTATTCTGTTGCTGTAACAAATCCCTGAATTAAATCAACTGATAAAGGAGAAAATGTTTTGGCTCACAGTCAATTGTCACTTGCTCTGTTGCCTTTGGGCCTGTGGGCAATCATGGTGGATAGCTTGTCGTCAAGAAAACTGATCACCTCATGGTGGTCAGGAAACAGAGGGAGGAGTAGCGGTCTGAATACTGCCTTTAAGGTCATGCCTCCAATAGCCTAATGGTTTTTCACTTCCTACCCCACTTCCTAAAGGCTCTACCACCTCCTACTAATACCACAGAATGGGAACCAAGCCTTTAGTTAAGCCTGTGGCCTTTGGGTAACATTCAGGTTGCAAACTGTAACTGGTCATTGAGGCTCACATTTGTAATCCTAGCTACTTAGGTAGCTGAAATCTGACTGGTCCAAAGCCACTCTGGGCAGGAAAATCCATGAGACTCCATAAGCAGCCAAATAAAAGGCTGGACTTGAGGCATGGCATATGTGGTAGAGTGCCAGCTATAATAGAAAGAGCCAAGCCACAGTATCAGGCCCTGAGTTCAAGCCCTGGTACTTGTGTGTGTGTATGTATGTGTATGTATGCACGCACACATGTGTAATACATGCACTGCATGTCACTCACATTCATACCTCTTTCTCTCCCAGCCCTTTAAAGACTGTTTGCATTTTAAGGATTTCTGATCAGGGCTTTATCAACTAAGTGGTTTTGTTTTTTTTCAAGTATGGGTCAGTAAAGCTACCATAGTCATACTTGGAAAACTATAACCAGACTACTTATCAAAGCTTTGATAGGTAGTGATTAAACTTATTTGTTGATCGTATAGCCTTCTTAAATATTTAATTCAATTAAAGATTACCCAGAAAATTTGTAAGTTTTTAAAATGTCTATCTGATTTTTTTTTTTTTTTGGTCCGGTCGTGGGACCTGAACTCTGGGCTTGGGTGCTGTCCCTCTGCTCTTCAGCTCAAGGCTAGCACTCTACCACTTGAGCCACAGCGTCACTTCCGGCTTTTTTTTTCCTGCTTATGTGGTGCTGAGGAATCAAACCCAGAGCCTCATGCATGCAAGGCAAGCGCTCTCCCACTGAGCCACCTTCCCTGCCCCTATCTGATGTTTAAAAAAAAAATTATAATCCTTATCATTTCCTCAATTTTTTCTTTAATGAAATAGACAAAAATAAGAATAAAATCTACTGACCATATAATTTTATTGCTTGAAAGGATCTTTGGTCTTTTTAGTTCATAAAATAAATTTATTAGTTTATGATTTTTTTTAATTCCATGGGAAAGTATTGAATGTTTGTTGAGTTATAACATAAGGATATGTCTGTTCTTTTGTGGGTGTAATGCATACATCTTAAGATTTGTTTGTTTGTTTAAAAAGTATTTCTACTAAGAAATCTTAAAGCTATGGCTTTTGGATTTTAATAACAATAATCATGAACAGCAATGACATTCTTGGCACTTGTCCCAAGGACAGCATGAAACTAAGCCAAGGAGGAGAAATTGACTACTTCCAATTTGGTGACCTAGAGCCATGGAATTAACTGCAGCTGTGTTGATGTGGCATGCTTGAGAACAAAGTGATTTCCTCATGCTTGTTTGCTGGATGAAAGCAATAATAGAGATAGCCATTTAGAGCTCCTTAGTGACATGGTAATGCTGATTAAGCACTGGGAGTATTTCTTATGCACTGAAAAGGCTTTGTGATTAAAAAAAAAAAAGTTATGTGCCTCTGGGCCAAGAAGTAGGCTTCAATTACATTATACTTGCTTTTGATCACTTTGTGTATACTCCAATTATTTTTATTAGGGTCTTACCTGCCAAATAATGGTATTTTAATGTTGTAGATAATCTCTCTTTTTGTTATTTAAAAATTCCAAACAATATGGCTATAATAGTAATTTAAAACATTATTATTATACATTATATTATATAATCTATTATTATTACATATTTGCTATTATATTATTATAGAGAATAAGAAGTTAAAAATTAATGCCATCTGGGCTGGGAAGGTGGCTGAGTTGTAGAGTGCTTGCTTTGCATGCATGAGGCCCTAGGTTAGATTCCTCAGCACCACATAAGCAGAAAAAGCCAGAAGTGGTACTGTGGCTCAAGTGGTAGAGCATTAGCTTTGAGCTGAAGAGCTGAGGGACAGCACCCAGGCTCAGAGTTCAGGCTCCATGACCGACCAAAAAAAAAAAAAAAAAAAAAATATATATATATATATATATATTTATGCCATCTAAGAATCAACTTTTAATAGTTTGGTGTTTGTGGTTATAAAACTTTTCATTTAGGTGTATGTGTGTGTACACACATATATATATAGCTAAAGGATATTTTTAAGAAAAATTAATGTGCAATAGCTTGTCATTTTTTTTTTTTGTGGTGCTGAAGATTGAATCTAGGACCTTGCACATGCAATGCAAATGCTGTACCACTGAGCTATGCATCTAATCCTTTTTTAAACTCCTTTGACAGTACCAGTTTTTATAATTTTCAATATAAAGGTCTTTTACCTCCTTAATTGGGATTTCCTTATTATTTTTTTCAGGACTTCGGGTTTGAATACAGGGACATGCCCTTGCTAGGCAAGAACTCTACTGCTGAACTGCACCTCCTGCCTTTTTTTGTGGTAGTTATTTTGGAAAAATTTTTTTTTTTTTTCTGCCTGGTCATGTGTCTGGATCACAGTCTACCTGTTTTAGGCTTCCCATAGTTGGTGGAATGGTGCAGCTTCCCACTGTTGAGAAAAAATCTTTTGAACTCCATTGCCCAGATTGGCCTGGAATTGCTGCTTCTTGATGTCAGCCTCTCATGTAGGATGAAAGGCATGAACCACTATACTTGTCAGTGGAGCAGGGGTCTTATGAACTCTTTTTCCCTGGGTGTCCTTAAACTACAATCCTCCCAATCTTAGCCTCTCAAGTAGATAATTGCAAGTTAAACTACCAGCACTCAGCTGGTATTTTATGTTTTGTTTTTTTATCAGTTGTGCAGCTTGAATTAAAGGCCTGGGCTCTGTCTTTGAGCTTTTTTCGCTCAAGGCTAGTGCTATTCAACTTTGAGTCACAACACTACTTCCAGTTTTCTGTTGGTTAATTGGAGATATGAGTCTCACGGATTTCCCTGCTTGGGCTGGCTTCAGACCATGAGCCTCAGATCTCAACCTCCTGAGTAGTTAGATTACAGGCATGAGACACTGGTGCCCAGCTTGGTATTTTGTTTTTGGAGGCTATTATGAATGGTATTTTCCTGCTTTCGTTCTTGGCTGGTTTATTGTTGGTGTATAGAAATGTTACTGGAGGAACTGGGAAGGTGGCTCATTGGTAGAGTGCTTGCCTTGCATGCATAAGGCCCTGGGTTAGATTCCTCAGCACCACATAAGCAGAAAAAGCTGGAAGTGGTGCTGTGGCTCAAGTGGTAGGGCGCTAGCCTTGAGCTGAAGAGCTGAGGGACAGTGCCTAGGCCCAGAGTTCAGGCCCCACGCCCGACCAAAAAAAAAAAAAGAGAGAGAGAAAAAAATGTTACTGGCTTTTCTACTTATTTTTTTTATCCTACTACTTAGATGAAAGTGTTTGTCAAATCTAAAAAGTTTTCTGATAGAATTTTTAGGGTCTCATAAGTATAGGAACATATCATCTATAAATAAAAATAATTTGATTTCTCTTTTATTAGTATCCTTTTAATTTTTTCTCTTTCATTTTTGTCTGAGAATAATTTGTCAGTCTGATGGTATGTCATTACTTGGGTTTATGTTTCTCTAATAAAAAGCTTGCATTTTTCATATATTTATTGGATATTTATTATCTTTTATGATTGCTCTTTCGATTTCTTTGCTTGGTTTTCTTGAGTTATTTTTCTTATGTTAGTTGCTAATCGTAGATAATTATTTTATAGCCTATCATTTATATTTTATATTTTGTTAATAGAATCTTTTATCAACTAGGAATTTTTCATTTTAAATAGTTGTGTGTATCTTTGTTTTCCTTCATTAAATTTGGATTTTGTACCATTGCTTTTCTTTATAAAATAAAATATTATTTTAAATAGACCTCCTCTATTCCAAGATTAAACAGCATTTCACATATTTTTTTTTTTTTTGGGTCCGGTCGTGGGGCCTGAACTCTGGGCTTGGGCGCTGTCCCTCAGCTCTTCAACTCAAGGCTAGCGCTCTACCACTTGAGCCACAGCACCACTTCTGGCTTTTTTCTTTTTGCTTATGTGGTGCTGAGGAATCGAACCCAGGGCCTCATGCATGCAAGGCAAGCGCTCTCCCACTGAGCCACCTTCCCAGCCCTCACATATTTTGTTTTAATTCTTTTTTTTTTTAGTTTAAGAAAATGTTTAGGTCTACAATCAGTTTGAAGTTATTTATAAAGTATAAGTAAGCTTGCTACTTTTTCTCACATGAATCTAAAATTACTTCAGTGTCATTTATTGAATAGTGTGTGTGTGTCTACTCATTGATTTCAAATTTTTCTTAATCTTGGGTTCCCATTTCATATTTTCCTATTTTTCTATTTATTTCTGTATTCCTACACTTGCCATTATGCTGCAGTGATACCTGGGAGGGGAAAAATTCTTTTTTTCCAAAAATTTTAACTGGTATCAGCAATTTATTTTTCAGAAGAACATTAGTTCTTATCCTAATACTTTTTTTAGTCTAGTACTCCAGGTTTCATTTTTATATGTTGTTTATTTAGTTCGTCTTTTTCCCTTTCCATTTCAGAAGCTGGAGTGTGGAAACTCACAAGAGACAGTTCAGCCTAGAAGGGTAGTCATTTCTCATAATATGGATAAAGCTTTGAAAGAAGGTAAGAATTATATAATTTCATTGTAAGACAATTCATTTATGTTCTAAAAGGAAAATAATAATCCAGCACATTTATCATTAGGAATTTTTCTATGAATTAGTATTTGATAACTATACCAGAAATATCTGTATTTTTGGTTGAGTGGAAGTAATTTAAAAACTTACTGAACAGGAATATCCGTATCACATGAAGCTACCCAGCCAGATGGAGCTTGGTCTACTGTGCGAAGTACAGGTCTGCTGTCTGTCTCTCAAGTACATATCAAAAATCACATTTTTTCTTCTAGATATAGCCTAGGGAAAATGTGTTAGAGATGAAGCTATTGTTTTATGCTAGAGACCCTTAAATTTTTCCTAAAGCTACATTTCCTTGAAATATAGATAGAAGACTTGTAAGCATCTTTTTAATTTACTATTAAATCTGATTAGTTCTATTGTCTAATTTTCACTAGACTAACTTGAATTGTCTTACAGGTATGGACCAGGTAATTTTGCAATTACTGAGTAATAGCCATTTGCCCAGTCATTTCCTGAATGCTAGGTTCAATTGCTTATTTCGATGGTCCTTTAGTATTTGTGAAGATTTTTCTTTTCCTTTTTAATGTGGAAGATTGAACCCAGCGTTTAGTGAGTGGTAAGCATGTGCTGAATTGAAAATATAACACTTCATGTGATTTTATCCTTTGCATAGTATTGTGGATGTTACCTTAGACTTTGTCTTGTAAGTTACTGTTGGAATGGCTTAGAAATACCATTACCTTAACTATTTTTTATGATGGGTTTCACAAATGCATTGTTAAATGTATATTTCACAGTGAATACATTTCTATTAGTTTTGATTGGCTTTCAGTGGGTTTCTATTTGTTATTGCTATGTTGTAGATCAAACATGGGACTTTAGGCATGATAGGCAAATCTTTAACTACTGAGTAAAAACTCTCAGCCCATTAGTACTTTTCTAAATTTCAGTGACAAATTATCCTACCTATACAAAGGGTCAAAACAATCAGGTAACAGAAGATATCTGTTCTTGATAAGGTGAATCTAATGTGTAATAATTTTGTGGGATGGGTCCTGGACTTGAACTCAGGGTCTCACACATGCTAGGAAGATGCTATATCACTTGAGCTGTTTTTCCTAGCCCTTGTAGTTTTTACTAGACTTCCCTGTTGGCTATTCCAGAGGAGGCTAGCCTATTCAGAAATTATATGGTGATACTAAGGAAGCAAAGTTTATATCTGAAAGGCTTTGACTTCATGCACCCCTTTAGACTCATCTTATTTAGTTTGTTACTTTTTGCCAATTGGCATGCAATATTTAGACCTTTTTGTTCAATGAATAAACTGATCAATTGATACAAAAAGGAAATAATCCTAAATTCAGGGGATTATTACTCATGCCTATAACCCTTCTCAGGAGGCTGAGATGTGGAAGATTGAGGTTCTGAGATGTGGAAGATTGAGGTTCAAAACTAGCCAGGTCTCCATTTTCAATAAACAGGCAAAATTCTAAACTGAAGCACATACACACACATAAACACACACACACATACACAATTGCACATATTTTTACTAGGCTTTGGGTTCAATACCCCACATAAAAAAGGAAACATATTCCATAAAGAACCATGGAAATGAGCAATAGAATTATTGATGTGCTTTATTGTTATAAGTAGATCAGGAGGACTAGTTATTTGTTCCAGGAGATCCAGGCCCTAGACTTTTATGATGTGTTGTGGAGAGACCTCATATGATTATCCTAGATAATATCCTAGATATGATTATAATCATATGAGGTCTATCTAGGATAATCATAATGAGGTAGGATTCTTCCTAAATTAATTGACCTCTTATTGAAGACAGAAACCAAATAATAATTGAACAGGAAAAATTAAATATTAAAAACTTTTATATATGCAATTAATCACTAAGGGGGTAAAGAGAATAAATAATATAGGAGGAATATATAATGGGAGTGGCCAGTAGCTCTAGGTACTGAAGCAAAACATTTGAGGATGGAATAAATTTGGAAGAAATGTACTTCACTTCAGTACTCAGTTGTAGGGCTCTTGGAAAAGGTGTAGCATTGGCCTACATAATGGTTGAGAAGTTTGGGACAACATCACAGGCTAGGGAAAGTATATTACTACTTTAAGTGGATGTGTGTGTATATGTATTGTATGTGTATATATGACATACACGCATATACACATGTACTTAACTGAGTGTTTTCAAAATTAGATTATTTAAAAAATCTAGAGCATGTAGTTTTAGTTAGATGAGGGTCTTTAAAAGATGTAGTGATAATTACCTGTCTTGTCTTGAGTTTTCTATGTTGTTTATATTTTAAACAATATTAAACACTAGGCAGCTAGTGTCTTGTAAAAATGCTGCCTTGGCATTTGGTTCTTTCATCTGAGATTTACTCATTGCTTTGTTTATTCCTGATAGTGTTTGACTACAGTTACAGAGATTATATCCTCTCTTGGTATGGTAACCTCAGCAGAGATGAGGGACAGCTTTACCATCTGCTCTTGGAAGACTTTTGGGAAATTGCCAGACAGCTACGCCACAGGCTGAGTCATGTGGATGTGGTTAAAGTTGTCTGCAATGATGTTGTGAGGACTCTACTCACTCACTTCTGTGACCTGAAAGCAGCTAATGCCAGGTAACTATTACATCAATAGTTTCTTCCCTTTTCAGTTCTTTTATTGAGTAAAGGGTCAAAATCAAAGTAATCCTATAGAGTAGTCTGTCTCTTATTGGCACTTGACCTGAAAATATAAACATTTGGAGTGAGAGTAATTATGATGTTCTGATAAAGTGGAATTTTTTGGTAACTTTTTAATATAAACTATTCAAATAGGTGGTTTATATTTTAATTTTTTAAATAAGATAATGAAATGAATTTTATTAAGATTGTACCATTACTTCCAGTAATATGGGTACTTGGAGATAGAAAAATTTAAATATAGCATTTTATAATGTAGAGTTTGCAAAGTTTAGAAAACTTTAAGCATACTTTATTTTCTCGTATTTATTTATTTATTATTAAGAGAAGTTCCTGTATTAATAGTGTAGTGACATCACAATATCTTGGAAACCGTTTTTTTTTGTTTTTGTTTTTTTTTTGGTGTGTGTACACTGGTCCTGGGGCTTGAACTCAGGGCCTAGGCATTGTATCTGAGCTTTTTTGCTCATGGTTAGAGCTCTATCACTTGACCCACAGCTCTATTTCTGGCTTTTTGGTGGTTAATTGGAGATAAAAGCCTCATGGATTTTTCTGCCCATTGAATTGGGATCCTCAGATCTCAGCTTCCTAAGTAGCTAGGATTACAGGTGTGAGCCACTGGTGTCTGGTTTAGAAGCTGATTTCTTTTGTCCAGTCCTGGGGCTTGAACTCAGGGCCTGGGCACTGTTCCTTAGCTTCTTTTACTCAAGGCTAGCATTCTGCCACTTGAGCCACAGTACCACTCCTGGCTTTTTCTGGGTATGTGGTACTGAGAAATTGAACCCAGGCCTTCTACCACTAAGGCACCTTCCCAGCCCCAGGAACTGATTTTTAAAGGAACTTAATATTAGAGTTTCTGGGCTCTAATTAGAGAATTTGCTTCATTATGTTTCATTATGAAAATAGTGGGTATAGGCTTTGGAGATGCTTATATGGCTAAGTTGAAAAGGTTTGTCTGTTCCAATTAGGTAAGAACCTGCCTTTGGAAGAAGACTTAAAACTATTTTTGTGTTCATAAACTAATTCTTATTTTCTTTAGTTTGTTGATAAGATCTTAAATGTACCTCTTACCTTGCATTGCAGCACTTATAACTTGTGCATAAAAACATGGTCTTAAAAAATGAATAACTTTCTGCCTAATTGAATATGGACTTGGTTGAATGGAATGGGAATACCTTTAGTAAATATGGTCTGTTCTCACTTTCACAGAAAAGTTGAAGTATTTAAGCTACATCAGGTTCAGTCAGCATTAGTAGCTCTCCTTAGAAGCTCTCTTGTATAAATTTATCAAAATAGTCCCTGTCCTGTGACATTATCCTTGCAGTGGGTTCTGATGGCTAAATGTGATTATGTGGCAGGTCTCCATTCACATTTATATTGTCTGTTCCTATGAACTGTCTTCTCTCCCCAAATCTACCAACCTGAAGGTTTATGAGGCCAAAATCCAGAACCATCAGTTACCAGTTGTTTTCTAGCTTGCTGTTTCAGTGTTTTTCAAACTTTAACTGTGACACATCATGAAGTAGATATTTTTTTATTTTTTATTATCTTTAAGTAGTTGTACAAAGAAGTTCCTATTCTACAAGATAGTATATGAATACAAAGTATCTGATAATATTGTCACCCTTCGCTCCTAAGTGAGATAGACATTTTAAGTTGCTAAAGATGAAGCTAAGTGTTTGAGTGCTTGCCTACCATGTGGAAGACCCTAGGTTCAATTTTTAGTACCATAAAATCAATCAATAGATAAACAAAGTGACCCACATAAAATAATGCTGTTATTGTGATAAGCTTTGAATTTTTAAAAATGTTTTTAAAAAACGCAGTCTGTGACTTAGTTTTATGTTGTTATTTCCTGATCGTAATGACCTATGGTTTGGAAGACTTTTTCATATTTTTTTATCTCTGGATCCCACTACAGTCTTAAAAAGCTGTTGAAAACCTTTTTGATCCCTGGATTCCTTACAATCTTAAAATCAATCAAGAACCTCCTAGAGCTTTTGTTTATGTGTGTCATGTTATAGTGCTTTTACTGGCACATGGGAGCTGAATGTGCCTATCTCTTCCCAACTCTCTAGTGAAATCTGTTTACATTGTGAGAATGGCAAATACTTCAAATGGTAATTTTCCCCCATGGGGGAAGTTGTTAAACAATGTTTACCATGTTAGATATTAAAACCAAGACATCTTTAAAGTTTAAGAGTACACAATACACTTCCCATTTACTATAAAAGCAGTGATGTCCTCACACTTGACACAAGCAGTGGATACCTCCACTACACTTGTAAGAATGACAGCAAAAGACAAATGACCTTTTTATATTACTAAGAATTACAGTTTTAACTTCACAGATTCCCAGAAGGAGCCTGGAGATAAAACTCTCTGGGATACTTTTGGGAAATTGTGGTAAGTTTCAATAAGGAGAAAGGGAGAGAAGCAAGGAAAGTGAGAGAAGCAAGACTTTTGGGGTCACATCTTTAAAGTCTCAATAGTCAATGCCTCTTCTTTTGAAGTATAGGTCAGTGTCTTGAAGTACTTGCTAATTTGCTGTGGTACTCAAAAATAAGTTGTTCTGCCTGAAACAATCAGGCAGTAACAACTGCCACAGAATTGATTGAATTAGTGGAAACTCATTTTAAATTACTTAAATTACACTCCAATAGGAGACATTATTTTTATTTTAAATCACTTAAAAGAATGATGGGTTTAAGTGAAAAGGACAAGTGAGTAGAGAAATTTTGTGTCTTTATAATTACCAAATTTATTTTTTAAATTGTATTTTTAGTCTTTTAGTCTTTTTTTGGCACTGGGGATCGAACCCAGGAAGGTGCACTTGCTAGGCAAGTGCTACATCCCAGTACTACTGAGCTACATCCCAGCTCATAAATACCGAATTTCATCATGAGAATTTATTTATCATTAGGACATTAATCAGCTTCTGAGGTTAATTATTTTTTTTAATTGTGACTGTAGGTTAATTATTTTTGAAGGTAATATAAATATAAATTATAAGTAAAACATCAAAATAATAGAAACAATGGATTCCATGGTAGAAGCTTCATTTCTTTGGCCTTTTAGTTTTCTTACATCCTTACTATTGTCTAGGCTATTCCTAGATAATGGTTGATGATAAAAAACAAAGAATAAAGAACAAAATAATGGGGGAGAAAAGCGTAGTATTATTCTCTGAAGTTTATAGATATTTGGGAAAGTGCCTTTAGGTTACTGATATTTTGCATATAGATGATTGCTATGGAGAACTAATATTATCTGTGTATCATAACCTACTAATCAAATAGCAAGGCTGGCAGAAAATGAATCTAGGTTTGGTTGTTGTATTCATATCTGCTTGCTCCAGGTAAAGTATTTTTTCCTAGAAATTTCCACTGGTGTGCAAGTCTTCACTGGCTTACAAATGACTTTGGCAGCTTGAAAAAGCCCAATTGAATTGGCCACTATCAGACAAAAAAAATAATGAATTGCATTAATTAAAGCAACATATCTTTTGGCTGACTGTTCGGCACTTATATGGCGACAGCTTTCCGGTCAACCTGGATTTATCTCTAGCTTGTCATTCTGTTACAACTTCAAGCCAATCCAGATCACATTTAAGTGATGCTTCCCATTTTTTTAACCCATTTGTCTTGTTTCAGCATGATGGAAAATCTAAAAACAATTGTTTTTATACTACTAATTCAGTTTTTTTTCGGGGAGAGGGGGTTGATGGTCATGGGGCTTGAACTTGGCTTAGGCCTGTCCCTGAGCTCTTTTGCTTGCTCATGGCTAGCATTCTACCACTTTGAGCCTCAGTGCCACTTCCGGTTATCTGGTGATTAATTGAAGATTCGAGTTTCAAGGACTTCCTGCTTGGGCTGGCTTTGAACCATGATCTGAGTTGCTAGGATTACAGGTGTGAGCCACTGTTGCTCGGCTTAATTCAATGTACCTTTAATTTCATAGTTTCTTTACAGTCTGTTTGCATGTACTGGCATGCTGTGTGAGGAAAAACGTTTTTACTCATATATTTTCCTTTTTCTTCTCTGGCATTTTTCCTTTTGTAATCTGATTATGGCATCATGTAGAGTCAACTTGAGAGTCAGACTGAATTGTGACTTCATTCACATAGCCATGCAGAACTTAATTTTCTCTATAGAACAATGATGATGAAAAATACTTTCTGTAGTTGGGAGGATTAAGTAATCTGGTGAGAAGAAATTTATAAAAAGTTAATATCCATTTCCTCACCAAAGGATGAGAACCCAAAGGTAAGTAGTAGCAATTACAGTAAAGAAATTATTATTTTTTTTTTGGGGGGGTGTTCAGTTGTGGGGCCTGACCTCTGGGCCTGGGTGCTGTCCCTCAGCTCTTCAGCTCAAGGCTAGCGCTTGAAGCCACACCGCCACTTCTGGCTTTTTTCTTTTTGCTTATGTGGTGCTGAGGAATCGAACCCAGTGCCTCATGCACCACTTGAAGCCACACCGCCACTTCTGGCTTTTTTCTTTTTGCTTATATGGTGCTGAGGAATCGAACCCAGGGCCTCATGCATGCAAGGCAAGCACTCTATCACTGAGCCACCTTCCCAGCCACAGTAAAGACATTATTGATCCATGCCAATAGAAGGGTGCTACAAAGATGAATGCTGGAATCTACTAGAAAGCTATCAAGACTCATAATCGTCATGACTCTTGTCTTCTAAAGCTCTACCTATGTCTTTTTACAAGAGGGTAATGAAAATTTTCTGCTCAGAGTTCATACAGAGATTTGAGGGAAGTCTTTCTAAGAAGTCTGACCAACTCTTAGGCCTTGACACGCTCAGGTTTTTATTTCTTCTAACTCAGTTTTATGAGGGAGAGGAATTATGGCATTCTGAGTTTGCCCCACTTTTTAAAAATAGCTCTCCCATTGGTATAGAAGACAAAGAACTATGCACTTTGAGAAAGGGATTTTCATATTCCCTTATAAAAGTGGATTTTCCTTTGGCTAACTGCCTTCAATAAATAATAACTAAATTAATATTTTACAGTAAAAAAAAACCTTTAAGGGTGCTTGCCATGACTAAGGAGTAGTATCTTATTATATTCAAATATCAAGTCTAATTGGCAGCTATCCTTTAAAATAATTCAAGATACCATTTTTAAAAGTCAACAAATGTCAGTGTATGAATAAATGTTTACACTTAAAATTTCTTTGTGTGTTGTTTGCATATTAGGGTATATTTTTCTAGCATGCTATAGAAGACAGAGGAAATTTTTCTTTTCTTAAGGTGCACATACTCTCAAGTCTTTCATCTCTAGAGCGAAAAAAATCATGTTAATTTTCTGAGAGACATTTTGTCACAAAGACACCAACATGCATTTTCTTATTCATTTCATTTACTATGTGATATCTAGCATGTTTCTTCTTCTCTGCTTATGGTATTTTCTCAGTATTGTACACTAGTTATTATAAGAATGTTTTTTAAACTGTTTCATAGCTAGAAGATACTAGAAAACTTAGTTTCCCACTGTTTTCTTGATTGCTATTAAGATACTATGGAAAGGAAAAGTCTAGACAGTTCTTTCTTCTTTCACTCAGATCTCTCAAATTAATTGGTCTTGGGATGGAGTCCATGTTGATAGAGAAGTCCATGCCTAATGTTGGAAAACAACCTAGATCCTCACAACAGGCAATTTATAACATCAAGTTATGGTTCTTCTCCTTAATAAAAATAACACATAGATATATTAGCCTGTGATATCCTAGTCAAGAAAAGTAGTTAATGACACTAGTTTATGCTGTGTGTGTGTGTGTGTGTGTGTGTGTGTGTGTGTGTGTGTGTGTGTGTGGTTCTTTAGAAAAAGGTGTAGATTATACCTAAAAAGATAGCTAGAGCTGGGTGCCGGTGGCTCATGCCTTTAATCCTAGCTACTCAGGAGGCTGAGATCTGAGGATCACAGTTCAAAGCCAGCCTGGGCAGGAAAGTCTGTGGGACTCTTATCTCCAATAAACCACTAGAAAACTGGAAGTGGCGCTGTTGCTCAAGTGCTTGCCTTGAGTGAAAGAGCTGAGGGATAATGCCCAGGCCCAGAGTTCACACCCCACGATGGACAAAAAAATTAAAAAAAAGGTGCCTAGAAAATTTTAAAGTAGGCCAGCTAACATTTTTTGGATTATTTTTAGGATTTGCAGTTACCTATGATTCTTTGTGCTACTTGATATTTTATTTAAATTTCTGCAAGGCTATGTATTGCACTTATCCCAGCACAAATTTTCCAGATTATTCTGATTAAGGAAATTGTTGATCATTTGTATTGTTGAGGTAAAAGAGTTATAATCAGTATGTTGAGATACTGAATTGTTTCTAGAAATTTTCTTCCTTCCTTTTACCTTTCTTATTTAGACATGAGGAACAGCCAAGACCTTTTGTGTTGCATACATGCTTGAGGAACGCAAATGATGAAGTAAGATTCCTACAAATGTGTTCTCGAGTTCTGGTGTTTTGTCTCCTCCCCTCAAAGGATACCCAGTCTCTCAGCTTACGTATCATGCTTGCGGAAATACTCACTGCAAAAGGTAGAATTATAAAATTAATACTACTAATTTGATAAGTATATAGTTTATGTAATATGAAAACAGTTCCCTTAAAGTGAAAATTTTTTCAGTGGAGCTTTTTCTTCTTCCCACAGTCTTAAAGCCAGTGATAGAATTGTTAAGTAATCCAAATTATATTAACCAAATGCTGCTTGCCCAGTTGGAATATAGAGAACAGATGAATGAGCATCACAAGAGAGCCTACACATACGCTCCTTCTTATGAAGAGTTCATCAAGCTTATCAACAGCAACTCTGATGTGGAGTTCTTGAAACAACTAAGGTACCTGGTCTATGACTTTAGCACAATAGCTACTAATTATCATCTTCTGTATAGGTAGGCTAATGTATGTATATGGTTTTCAGAGAAGTCCATAAATTTTTACCATTTGTTGACAACTAAATTTATGCAACTTCTTACCTAAATTTATACAACTTAACTACTGAATTAGAATGTTTTTTTGAAGTGTTTATGATTCTAATAATTAGATTCTAATAAACTGAAAGCTCTTTGGTTGTTAGGTGCTTAGATACTTAATTTTTTAAAAGTACTTGAAAGAGACATGATTTTTAATTACAATTTAGAACACTATTGGTTTTTTACTTTTCTTGGAAAATACAGAGGTTGGGTATGGGAATAAGAGGTTTCTGACTAATTATTTTGAGAAATCATACTTGGAAATGTCACAAGAATCTCTTATATGGGACCATATCTGAGATATTTTAACAGTGAGTGTGTATTTTTCCTTTTACATTATATACTTTATAGTATGATTATGTAGTATTATCTAGTTTGTGGATTTTATAGGCTTTTTTTTCTTCTTACCCTTCCCTTTTAATATTTTTCAATGAAAATACTTGGAGAAGAAAGATGGAATGTTAGTTTTGATTTTCATTAGTAATTTGGTAAATCATTAATGTAAAGGTAAAATATTAACTAAAATTGGGTCTTTGAACTACTCAAGATTAGATTTCTCATATTTGCTGTTGAAATAGGGTTAATATTAAAGTGTCTCAAGCTGTGTAATTTTCCAACCTAAATAATAAATTCACTATTCAAGAGGCATACACTGTTTTGATAAAAATTGTGTCATATGTTAATCTAGGTTCCACAAGTGTATAATGTTCAATTCAATTGTATGCCTTTACTTACAAATAATCTATGTGGGCTATAATACTTGGATAATATTTTATTTTCCTTCCTAGCATAATCTTTAATGAACTAAGTGGTAGTCATGTATTATAGATTTGTGAGTGTATGTGAATCTACAAACTACATTTTGAGAATTGTTACACGTGAGCTTATAGGGAACCCAACAGCCAGTATTCCATATTTGTCATCTGAGGCTTGCAGGTAGATCATCCCTTATCATGACTTATCATAAAGAAATGATAACTTTATGGAGCTAGGTATAGTGATGTATGACTATAATTCCAGCACTCTAAAAGATGGCAAGATGGCAAGTTTGAGGCCAACCTAAGCTATATAGTGAGTTACAAGATGGCGTGAACAACATAATGAGGCCCCGTCCCCAAAACAAAAACCAAGCATGTTTCTTACAAGGACACACTTATGCTGCCTGTTTTCCTTAAAACAGTATGTATACTATTTATAAGATTATGTCTTCGTTGCCTTGTATGTCCCTCCCCCATAGTATAACCCCTGCTTTCACCATATATGATGTTGGTATATGTGGAGGGGAAGGGAAAAAACAAATTGTTAAAACAGGGATACAGGAGGACCCATTGCACCAATGAGATGTACAAATCGTTATGTTGAAAAACGAACTTTACAACTTTGGTGGGGGGACGAGGGAAGGGGGAGGATATGAAGGGATGGGAAGGGGAATAAAAGGAGGAGGCTACAATGCTTGATAAGATAACAAAAAAAAAACCAGTATGTATACATACCAAGCTTCTGCCAAACCATTCAACCATTCAGCTCCATTACTCATCCATCTGGTGGTTTTCTGCCTACTTTCTAGATAACTTGTGTGGTGTGAACAAAGTAACATATGCTAGCCACTCTGTAGAATTATAATTTCTTCCTAAGTCCTTGTTTAAGAACAGATGTAAGAACACTTGTGTTCATAAACAGTGAGTGCACTCATTTTCTAAGCATTTTTCTTCTGGTATAGTGAAGAGTCTTTCCACAATAAAAGTTAGACATGGATCATTTACAACTCTTAAGAGTTTAAGCTAGCTAACCATAGTCAAATATAGTGAATCAGTATTCATTGTTCTGCTCAGATTTGTGGATGGATATCATTTTGTGTGCCAAAAGAATTCCAGAACTGCATGCTGGTGACATAGTTAATGATGTTAAAAAAACGTTGTTAGAGATTTCATTTTAAATCAGAGTAGCCAACTGTTTGTAATTGTAATGGCCAACGATTGCTTTTGTAGCACCAGCTGTCATCTTCTATTTGAGCACTATTCCTGTGTTATAAGATGAATGAATCTTGATAAGAATTAATAATTAGTTCATCTTCTTAAAAATGTACTAGCCAGATGCTCAGACTTGTTTGCATGTTGCAGTTCATCTTCTAGTTCTAGTAGATAAATAAGAAGCTCAGCAAATGCTGCCCTTAAAAGGATCAATACATGGTATCTAGAATGACTGAACAACTTTCTGTGTAACAGTAGAAACATTGTAGATCCTAACTTGAGTGACCAGAGATTGCTTCTGAAATCCAGAATTTACATTTTCCCTTTTCCACTTCAATGTGTGATGGAATAGAAATGCTGTGAGCACTTACGTCTTTTTCAAAGATGACTTCCTCTTGCTCTCATAAATAGGGCTACATTGAAAGACAGCACCCAGAGAGAGTTCTAGGATGTAGGTTCTCTGTTGAGCACTAAGACATTTAAGGGACAATAAAAATACAGAACTTAAAGAATGCCTTATTTTTTTAGAAATGAAGATGTAATCTATAGACCATATACAACTCACCATTTGAAAGCATGGATATGGTGACTTGTGTCTATAATCCTAAACTACTTGGGAGGTGGAGAATTGGAGGATGGGAGTTCAAAACCAGCCCAGACAGAAAGTTGGCAAGACTCCATACCAGTTTAATAAAAATCTGAGTGTGGTGGCATGTAGTTATGATTCCAGCTATCCCAGTAGCATAAATTGGATCTGGATCCTGGCTAGTTTGGACATAAATGTGAAACTATTCAAAATAAAGCAATTCAGAATTAAAGCAACAGATTGGCTATGTGGCTTATTTGGTAAAGCTCCTGTCTAGCAAGTATAAACCTCTGAGTTAAAAGCCCATGATGCCAAAAAAAAAGTGTAGAGCTTAGTGGTTTTTTTTAGTGTATTCAAAGATTGGACAACCAGTACCTATATTTAATTCCATCACTGTCAAAGCAACTTTGTATCCATTCATTAACAGTCACTTCCCATTCTTCCCCTTCCCCTTCACTTGGCAACCACTAATCTACCTTATATCTCTCGTACTATGCCTATAGTAGTTATTCCAAATAAATGGATTAATGCACTCTGTAGCTTTGTATGTGGCTTCTTTTACTCATTATATTTTCACTGTTTATTCATTTTACAGTATGTATCAGTACTTTCATTCCTCTTTTTGGCTAAATAATTTGCCATTGGCTAAAGATAAAGCAATTTGTTTATCCAGTTGTCATTTAATGGACAATTTGAGTTGAATGCCTTTTGAGTACATTATTTTCTGTAGTATTTTAGAAGCATTATTATTGACTGATGATAAATGGGAGTAACATTAAATGTAGTAGATTCTTAATCTTTTTTTCTTGCCATGTACCCCTTACCATGTGCCTACCACCAAGGAGTGATTGGAAAACAAGGGATAATGCTTTTTTATATTATTCTTGATCCATATATCATATTACCATTTGTATCTTCCATCTTACTGTTAGATTTTGCATTTCCAGCAGAATTTACATTCAATGGGGAGAAGACTTATTAGAAGGCAAGTACATTTTTCAGGTTTAAGTTTAGAAAGGAACTGAGTCCACTTAGAATGACAGTTCTGCTGACCTCTGTCCCTTTATAAACTCTCAGTTCCTTGTTTAAGTCTTGGGAAATATACTGATGTCTTCCTCTAGAAGGGCTAAAAAAATGTCTCAAATAACAAGCAGCTGAAAAGGTCTTTCCCTTGAAAGAATCTATACAACTGACGTTAACTATGAAATCATGTTAATTCCCTCAACAACCTTATCAAACAACCCTGGGAGTAAATAATATAGAAATCATTTTTCTTAGTGATAGCTACACATCCAGAGTCATGTTTTGAATACTTTTGTAAATATTACATATCCAGAGCCATTTTCCCTGTAACTGTGACTGAGATCATTCTTTGGGCTTTATTGTATGGTAGAATTTCAGGCAGTTCTGGGGGATATGGCACTGAGGTATCTTTATTAATGAGTTATTTTTCTTTATCTACAGCATCCTAGATAGATGAACCTTTATGTTCTGTTTCTTGTACAGGTGTAACTAGAAAGGTTATCAGGAATGACCATAACAAACAAATTGATCCCTTTGTTCCAAAATGTAGGTGATACTCTGTAAATAATCTTGTGATTTAGTTAGTTACAATTTGACATAAAAATTTTCTCTACTCAAGGGTAGAGAACAGTAAACTGTTCACTGTTTTACGGTTTACTGTTATTGACAGCCATAGTTTCTTTTTATTAGATACTTGTCTAAATTTGCTGAGGCTTATTATACTCCTGGCACTAATGGAGCTGATTTCTTCAGTAAAAGCTGGAACTATTCTGTTGCTTTTTTCTGGTACAATTAGAGTACTCTACTGTCAGACTTTATTGGTGTTTAAATAACTGTCTTCAAATTGCTCTCAGTAAAATGTATGAAAAAGATGCCTAAGGTAGCGAATGTGTTTTAGTTTGACTCAGCAGCTGATGAAATCATGTACTTTTATTTTCTACATATTTGGAAGATAGCTGCATATTTTTAAAGGGAATAAAGTCATTAGACTCAGCTTGGTTGCAGTGTTTTAAAAAACAAAACAACAACAACAACAAACCCTTGAAGATGGTATTTATAGTTCTAGGAAGGTTTGTTTATTTTCTGTGTCAGCATGAAGTACTTTCACAGAAGGATTATAGAGCTGGAAATGCTTCTGTCATATTCTACATTACTAGTGTTGTTTTTAACCCTAGCTCTGTACTGGAGCCTCCTAGGCTTTAACAAAATTACAATTGGACATCACACTGTTTTTTATAGCTACTTTCTTTTCTTCTTTTCTAGCACCTAAGATGTGGAAGTCAAGA